ATATATATATATATATATATAGTTGTTTTTATTGTTTTACTGTATTTTGTTTTTTTTTGTACAGCACTTCAGACAGCTGCCATGTTGTATTTTAAGTGCGTTAGAAATAAATTGGTATGGTATTTATTTAAGGTTCTAAACATTTAGGTTTCATGAAGAAGAGAGACATTTCAATTTTTTTGACATGAAAAGTTATTTTGAGATTAAACTGTGAGCACTGTTCAAGTTTAAAAACCATTTGTACAAGGATTTTTTTTTAGCATTCTCTGTCATCATCTATAGGTCGTCTATTATTATGACTTCATGCTGGGGCACTTTCACACGCCGTCTACAAATCTGTGAACCCTACCATTCAGTCTGGATTCTTACATGATGCAACAGATGTGTATTCTGTCAAATGATGTTTCAATTATAACACATTTCAGTGATGAGTGGAGATGGTCAGATGGAAGCAGCAACAATTTCACAAACTGGTACAGAAGTTATCCTAACATCAACCCTTCTGAGCTTTGTGCTATGATTATGCTGAATGAGGAAGGAAAATGGACAAGGAACCAATGCAAGGACAAAAAATACTTTTTCTGCTATGATGGTGAGTATTAAATATTTTTAAATGGAACTGAATTTATCATTTTGCTTTGCTGCATTTAACCATTTACAATATGTTGCTTTCAGTAAATAGTGAGCTTAAATTGAACTTTTCGAGTCACAATATTGGAAACTCTGATGCCCATGTGGTTTGTGCATCTTCTGCTGCTACATTCTGGGGTTTTGCACATTTGTCTAAGTGACACACAACATTTTGGCCACATGCATGGTGTGAATTAGAATGAAAACCACTGGGTATACAGCCTAATTGGGGATCGCATAGTAAGGCAGCAACCTATTATTATCCACCTGACAAGGGTTTCTTAACTTTATATCGTACTCTTCCATCAACTTTAATGTGGCCTGAACCACAATATGTTCCCCCAAAAATGTTATATCAAAACGACCAGCTTGGCACCGCGATGTGTGCTATTACTTCTATTTGCATTTTGAGTTACCATGGCAGCGTCTTTTGCAAACAAAGACACCATTTTCATTAGTCATTTTACATAGACTGCTTGCAAATGCAATATCCAAAATGGCCACCTGAGCTAAAAAGGAAAAATACTGTAACTCAGCCATTTTGAGTGGTATTAAGCTGAAATTTGGTGTGGTAGTTGCTGAGACCAATGCTCAATAAATATTGAATTAAAAAAAATAAAATAAATATGGCCTCCAAAGCTAAATTCAAATGGCTTTCACTCAGCTATTTTTACACAGAGTTGAAATTTGGTGTGGTGATAGCTGAGAATGTTCCCCATCACATACTGAATCCAAATCAAAAATCCAAGATGGCCACCTTGGCTTAAAAAAAAAAGAATTTAACTTGTTGATCATTTGCCATTTTAAGCTGAAATTTGGTATGGTTGTAGCTGAGAGCGAACCCCAACTCATAATACTGTCAGATCAAAAATTTAACGTAGCAGTCCCCGTCAAATTTCAACTTTCTAGTGCTCCATTGTAATTCTGAAGATTCTTTAAATTCTTTGTTATTTTAGCCACCTCAGGTATCCAGTCAAAGTTGACTGAACACTCGGACTCCTTAAATATATTCATTTGTCACTTGTTGGTTATGTTGACTGTGTATGAGTGTAGTCTACAAACAAGAAAATAAAGTCAATCCAGCCCTGTCAGAAAAGTCTAGAATATATCCATTATTGGCTACACAGGATGTCACATGAACTAGTTAGATAAACTGTAAGTCAAACTGTTGTCTGCTTTAAAGGGACATGACAAATAAGGGCTGTTGTGTTTTCAAAAACTGAAATCTGAGACCTTCTCATCTGTTTATATTAAGTCTTTCTCATTTAGACCTGTCGCAATAAACAACAAATCAATTAATCGCACGATGAAGGAAAATTATTGACTTCATTTTCATTTATTGGGTTTAACATTTTTTCGTGTCTCTCTCTTTCAATTGAAGACATGGCTCAACCCTGGTGCTCTTTATTGACCCCTCCCTTTCTCTTTTCTCTTTAAAATCTGTTTTAACCTTCTAAACAGGGGTGGAGTCCTACGTGTTCAATTGTCCCCCTCTCACTCAGCCTCCTGTGAATAGTAAACAGCCATCAGTGTGCTAATGATCCATTGTTAGGCTGATGGTCCTTCTTGAGCATGTGATCAGCTGGTTTTGGTTGTCAGCAGCAAAACTGGTTTATCCACTCTGAGAATGTGCTATCTAAGAGACTGAGCTGAATACAGCACCTCAGACTGAGGAAGTCTTTCGGATGAGAGACGAAACGTTTCTACATTTTTTTGTTGTTTTGCTTTGTTTTGGTTTTTTGAATGTCCAGAGGACCAGATTTAACTTTTTTAGATTTTTCTACCTGGATTATTGAGCATGCATCAGGATACAAGATATAAAACATTTCTTCTTAAATTTGACAATAATTATTAATTATTGTCAAATTTCAAACAATATTATCATTTATCTCAATCATTTCTGAGACAATTAATCGCAGAGCAAAATATGTTATTGTGACAGGCCTATCCTCGTTTAACGTAAATGGTTTCCTTCACCATCCTCTCAAATAATCTGACTTCTCTGTCCAAAAGATGAACATTTGTGGTCCTCAAAAGAGAATCCTTAACCTTGAAGTTTAGGTGCACAACTTGAAACTCTGCACTCTCCAGTTTTAGATCAAAACAGCTCCTGAGATGACAAATAAATTGTCTTCTGCTAGAGAACAGAAGACGAGTTGCTCTGTTTCTTATTATTCTTGCCGTGTACTGGATGATTTACAATCAGTGTTATTTAAATCATGGAGTCAGGATCTGCTGCAAAAAGTCACAAAAAGAGTGTAACTTGCTCACACCTGCTGAACTTGGATGTATTGGCGCCAACATATAATTAGCACCATTAGCTTTGTGAGAAGGATGCAGAGATGGTGCAACCAAGGGGAACTAATGAGCAAGTAAAGATGGCGGACTTGACCCACTTGTTTTTATCATGTTCTGCATGTGATATTTATGGATGTCCCTGACAGATAAAGTAATCCTGATCCAGGAGAAGAAGACCTGGGAGGAGGCCTTACACTACTGCAGAGCTCATCACCAGGACCTGGTCACCATCACTGACTCTCACCAGCAAAAATGGGCCCAGAAGAGAGCCACACAGGCCTCATCTACTTTTGTTTGGTTGGGACTGCGCTACACCTGTGTTCTGGATTTGTGGTTCTGGGTCAGTGATGAGGCAGTCAACTATAAGAAATGGGGTCAACATGGGCAGTTTGATCAGTGCGAGATGTGTGGAGCCATGGACAGGGAAGGACATCACGAGTGGTACAGTCGGGCAGAAACGGAAAAGTTCAATTTTATCTGTACTCGTTAAATCCTAAATCACTCCAAACAAACGTTTTGTTATAAAACTGAACATGTTTGAATATTTTTTTCTTATGCAACAAACTGACTGTAAGTCTTGTTTTGATGTTTTAATCACTGATTAATTAAAATACAATTCTGAGGAAACATGTCGGAATGTATAAGTACTCTCTGCATGCTGTAGTACTTGAAGAAACCCGAACTGATGTCTCACAAATACATTTTCTAGAGTTATCCATCCATTTATATCATTATGCATTTAGTTTATTTGAGATTTATTTTTATTGGTGTCATTATTAATTTGCATATTTATTAAAAAGTAATAATCAAACCAATTAATACTGCTTTGTTGACTTCTGAGCAATTCATTACAATACAATACATCCATCCATCATCCATTATCTTCCGCTTGTTCCGAAGTCGGGTCGCGGGGGCAGCAGCTTGAGCAGGGAAGCAGACTGGTTCCCATTAAGCTAACACCATAAGAACCCTTTTGACATTCCTTTTCAGGAGATGGACAGCGACACCTTTGGTAAAACATTGTATGTTTTAAGTTTAATCCTAAATATGTCATACCTGAATGTTTATTCATGAAAATGTGTGTTTAAGTAATTTTTCTTTAAGATAATACGTTTGTCTTATTTTCTCTTTTAAAATGAAACTTTTAAGGCAGAGAACAGGGACTCTTGATTTATTTAATAGGCATTTATGAAAAAACAAAGCCAAGAGTTAGAAGCACCTCTTCCGAGAGGTGGACCTTCATCTCTGTTCCACACAGACAGTAAGTTGCACCATTCTTCTAAGAAAACTTTTAAGAAAACGCACTTTGAAGAGACGCTTCGAAGCCAACACACTTCTGTGCAGAGAACTGGAAAGAGAATTAACCCAGCTTTTGCACTTGACCTCAGTAAGGAGAGAAGCATCCTTTCTGCAGACGACTTTGAGCAGAGATGGGTTTCCCAGTAGAACCAGGCATTAACCCGAGAGCTGTCTACCAGGCAACCATCACACCGCAGAGTGGTAAATCCCAGCTGATTACTATATGGACCTTTGTCCCTCTAACGATGACAGGTGAACTTTGAGGAGACTAAAGGCCGAAGGCACGTTTATTAGATCCAGGAAACGATGGCTAGAGGAGGGAGAGCAAAACTCTGCCTACTTTTTCAGGCTTGAAAAACACAGATCAAAAACAAACTCTATTTATCAACTAAACATTAATGACACTATCTCCAACAATCCTAAACAAATTTCAACCTTTTGTGCCAAATTGTATGCTAATTTATACAGCTCAAAATATAAAGAAGAGATTTCAATAACATTTCTTAACAACAAAGTCCATGCTCAATAATCCAGGTATAAAATCAGTCAGGTCATCTGGACAGTTTATTTTTTTGTGCTGAAACGTTTCGTCTTTGATCCGAAAGGCTTCATCAGTCAAGGAAACACACAATAAAACTGATTCTTCCTCCAATAGCTTACTCCAAAGTGGAACAAACCAGTTCTGCTTGTGATAAGATGGTCTCTTTGGTACGCCCCTCAAAGGCGAAATGTTTCAGCACAAAAAAAGAAAGTGTCCAGATGACCTGACTGAAAAATGTTGCATTTTATACCTGGATTATTGAGCATGGACTTTGTTGTTTTCAACCAGTTTGACAATACTCAACAAGGAAGAGGGCCGGCAAAGGAGGAGGGGGCGTACCAAAGAGACCATCTTATCACAAGCAGAACTTGTTTGTTCCACTTTGGAGTAAGCTGTTGTGGGAAGAATCAGTTTTGTTGTGCGTTTCATTGACTGATGAAGCCTTCTGGATTGAAGGTGAAACATTTCAGCACAAAAAAAGAAACTGTCCAGATGACCTGACTGAAAAATGTTAGATTTCTTAACAATATTCAAAACTTAAAAACTATCAATGTGGATGATAGAGACAATTGTGACAGCCCTTTTACAGTGGAGGAAATCTCTAAATGCATTACTGCACTTAAGGCAATAAATCTCCCGGCACAAACAGTTCATCTGCAGAGTTTTATCCATCCATCCATTATCTTTACCTGCTTCTTCCATTTTAGGTCACGGGGGTCACCGGTGCCCATGTCCAGCAATCACTGTGCGAGGGGTGGGGTACACCCTGGACGGGTCGCAAGTCCATCACAGGGACACATAGAGACAAACGAGACAAACAACCATTCACTCTCTCACTCACACCTAGGGACAATTTAGAGTTACCAATCAGCCTAACAAGCATGTTTTTGGACTGTGGGAGGAAACCGGAGTACCCGGAGAAAACCCACGCATGCACGGAGAGAACATGCAAACTCCACCCAGAAAGGCCCCTGGACCGGGGTTTGAACCAGGGACCTGCTCGCTGAGAGGAAACAGCTCTACCAGTTGCACCACCGTGCTGCACCAGAGTTTTATTAATCATTCTCTGATCATATAGCTCCATTTCTCTTACAGGTATTCCTAGAAAGTATAAACAATAACACTCCCTTCTACTCTCACTCAAGGTCTTATAACACTCATTCCGAAACCAAGCAAAGACTTACTTTTTATTGATAATTGAAGACCTATATGTCTACTCAATAATGATTATAAGCTTATGGCTTTAATACTTGCTAACAGAATTAAAGAGGTATTGGATACAATTATTGATGAGACACAGTCAGGCTTTATGAGAAACAGACACATCTCTAACATCAGACTAGTGTTAGACCTACTTGATTACTCATACGTGGTGCCTGATGATAGTCATATTCTCTTCCTGGATTTTTATAAGGCCTTTGACACAATTGAACATCAATTCATTTTTCATTCTTTGAAAAAATTTGGTTTTGAAAAATTTTTTGTAAAGCTGTCGAAACCTTGTACTCCAATAGCAACAGTTCTATTAAAATGCCAAATGGCTCCACCCCTAGATTTGACTTAAAACGTGGTATTCGCCAAGGATGTCCCATTTCACCATACTTATTCTTACTTTGTTCACAAATTATTACAACTCATATCTCCAACAGTGCTGTACAAGGAATCACCATAGCTAATAAAGAGCTTATAATCAGCCAGCTGGCTGATGACACCAGTTTTTGAAGGAATGAAAACCAGATCGCGCTTGCCTTAGATGTGATTAGTGACTTTTCCAAGGCCTCTGGTTTATGTTTAAAAAAAAAAAAAAAAAAAAAAAAAAAGTGAATTACTAGCAATTAAAGACTGTTCAGCAAATTTTATTTTTTAATATCCCTGTTAAACAAGAAGTCACTTATTTAGGACTTTTAATCTCTAAAGATGAAAAATGAAGCTGCTCCTCTAATTTTACACCGATTATCCAAAAACCCAAAACTAAACTAAACCAGTGGCTGCAGGGGGACTTATCTCTACAAGGTAGAGTGCTGCTCACTAAAGCTGAAGGATTATCCCAATTGACATATGCTGCTCTCTCCTTACATTTAGATTATACAATTAGTAAAGATATTGACCGTATGCTTTTTAATTTTATATGAAAAAAACGTACACACTATATTAGGAAAACTGTTGTTATGACTAACTACGAAACAGATGGGCTTAATTTTCTGGATTTCTTTACCCTAAATAGCACATTCAAAATTAACTGGGCTAAACACTTTCATAAGAATTCGACTTCTATCTGGAACCTTACACCATATAATGTTTTCTTGCGCTTTGGAGGCTTTCATTTAATTTAAAATTGTAATTATAATACCATACCATACCCATACCAATTTATTTATAGAGCACTTAAAACAGCAACAAGGCCAACCAAAGTGCTGTACAAGAGAAAACAAACATGCACAGCGGACAGGAAAACAAAAAATAGAAATACAGATACAAATAGCAGCAGAAGCTAACTAAAATGGCCAACAGTGTAGAGTACAGACTGGACCAAAACAAATCACACCGTGTTAAAGGCAAGAGAATAGAAGTGGGTCTTCAAGCGAGACTTAAAGACTGAGAGTGTGGGAGCCTGCCGGACACTCAGTGGCAACTCATTCCACAGTCGTGGACCTGCAACAGAGAAAGCCCTGTCACCTCTGAGCTTACGACGGGTTTCTGGGACTGAGAGAATCATCTGGTCTGCTGACCTCAGAGAGCGCGGTGGGACATATGGCTGCAGAAGATCAGTGAGATAGGATGGGGCGGAACTGTTCAGTGATTTAAAAACATACATGAGAATTTTGAAATGGATCCGAAGGTGAATGGGTAGCCAGTGCAGGGAGGCCAAAACTGGCGTGATGTGCTCTCTATAGCCTGTACCAGTTAAAAATCGGGCTGCAGCATTTTGGACCAGTTGAAGACGTGAAATGGAGGACTGACTGATTCCAAACAGAAGTGAATTGCAGTAATCAAGCCTAGATGTTATGAAGGTGTGGCTCACTGTCTCAAGGTTCTTTTTGGAGAGTATAGGCTTCAGCTTAGACAGCCGTCTCAGCTGAAAAAAACAGGATTTGACCATCATGTTTACGTGACTGTTGAGTTTTAAGGACGGGTCCATTATCACCCCCAGATTAGTGACCTTTTGTTTCTCTAGCGGGGCTAGAGAGAAAAGGTCAATGTCATGGTTCATGAGTGAGCCACTGGGATGGAACAGCATGACTTCAGACTTCTTCTCATTGAAGCTTAAGAAGTTTAAAGCCATCCAGTCCCGGATGTCAGCCAGGCAGTCAAGAAGAAGCTGAATAGAGCGTGTGCCTCTGTGCCTCAGGGGGAAGTAAATTTGGCAATCATCGGCGTAAAAGTGAAAGGGTATGTTGTGTTTGCGGAAAATAGCACCTAGTGGCAGCAGGTATAAAGAAAAGAGAAGGGGACCGAGGATGGACCCCTGCGGTACCCCCACTGGAGCACTGTCGATGCCGAACTAAAATCTTTGATATTGACACAGAAGGTTCGGTCAGAGAGGTAGGACCCAAACCATTTAAGGGCTGACCTTGTGATGCCCACCCACTGCTCCAGTCTAGAAATGAGGTTCTTGTGGTCGATGGTGTCAAAAGCAGATTAAGGTCCAATAGGACAAGCAGCACAGAATCACCTGCGTCTGTGGATATGAAAATGTCATTAAAAACCTTCAGTAGAGCAGTTTCAGTGCTATGGAGAGATTTGAAGCCAGATTGGAATAACTTTAGGATAGCGTGATCCCCCAAAAACTGTTTCAACTGAGACTCAACAATTTTTTCCAGTAGTTTAGAGGTGAATGGGAGTCTGGAGACAGGCCGGAAGTTGGACATGACTGAGGGGTCAAGGTTAGGTTTTTTTCAAGAGGGGCTGAACAGCAGCATGTTTAAAAGTCTTTGGCACCACACCTGAGGATAAACTGCTATTCAGAATAGCGAGGATAAAAGGACCCAGGGTAGGAAAAACTTCCTTTAGTAGTCGAGGGGGGACCACATCAAAGGGGGAACCAGATGGCTTCATGCTACACATTACCTGCTCCAGAGAGGACAGAGAGATGGGCTCAAAGTGGTCAAACACAGCCACGCACTGAGATGGGATGGACAGATCATGAGCTGGTGGAGAAATGAGTGCCCGGGTGTTTGCCACTTTTTCTAAAAAGAAATGGAGGAAGTTTTCACACAGCTCAGTTGAGGCTTCCAGAGGTGAAGGCTCACTGAGGTGTAGAACTGAGTTCAGGGTGGAGAAAAGAACTCGGGGGTTGTGGGAGTTGGAGACAATTAAATCAGAGAAGAATTTACATTTGGCAGCTTTAACGGTTTTTTGATAGTGACGCCAACTCTCCCTTAACATTTGAAAAGAAACCTGCAGCCTGTCCTTCCTCCACCTTCGTTCAGCTCTGCGACACTGCCGCCTAACGGCTCGGTATAATGTTGAGAAACTTCCTGTAACACTTTCATCCTTCCATAAGCAGGTGCTTTTAGCTTGGACCCTCATTTACAAACACAACTTCTCACCACACAAATACCTCATCTGGAACAACAGAGATATTTTATTTAAAAACAGGTCACTCTTCCTTGAGACTTGGGTTCAAAATGGGATCCTACTGGTGGCTCAGCTGGTTAATAAGGACGGACAACTACTCACCTACAATGAATTCTTCCCAGTTAGTCTCCAAGAATTCTCAATGGTGGTTAGCGCTACACCCTCAGGCACCTTAATGTTGTTTAAAAACACTAACAGTTCTCTGTCTACTCCAGTTCCTCTCCCTGGTCCAGCTGAGTCATCAGTGAAACATCTGCTTTTCACAGCAGCGTGGGAACAACAATAAGAGAAGACGCAGATTGTTCCAAGAAGGCATCGTTTCTCGTCTTACTGGAGCCGTAGATATCAACTGGAAGACAATCTGGATGACTCCCCATAAATATTTAATTATAAATAAGGTGAAGGAAGTGTCATTTAAAATTCTTCATAAACATTATATGATAAAAATGTAAACGAGACATAAATATTCATTGTAGTTTTTGTGGTGATCTTCCAGAAACTGTGACACATCTTTTATTGGCACTGCCCTTTCACACGCAGGTTTTGGAAGGAGTTTAGCAGGTTTATTAATAACCATATTTTAAGGAATTTTTCCTTACGTTAGGAAAATATTTTAATTTGTTTTTCTAGATTCCCCAGAAAGGATGCTAAATGTTTTTTTTTTTTTTTTTATAATAGACTTGCTAATTCTTTTTGGCCAAATTTTTCATTCATAAATGTAAATTTAGTAACAAAACGCCATGCTTTCTTCATTTTATTAAGTATGTGGAATTATATGTAAAGTTAATAACAGACTCTACCAACAAAAAGGCCCTTAAGACACTTTCTATATGTAAATCTTTGCAAATATTTGTTTAAAAAAGTACACCCCTGGTTGTCGTTCGTCTGTATACTCCAGCCTTTTGTTTGTTGTATACTTGTCATTTGCTTTAATAAAGATTATTTTTTAAAAAAGGAAAAAAAAAGGTCACGGCATTCTCCTGTTGACGTCATGTGTCTTCAAATGAACATCAGAGGGCGCCACTGAGCAGGCTATCAATATGATGCAGGTGTTCGCACCGTCAGTCTCTTTAAACCTGCAGATAAACAACACGCGCAGTGCTTGAGTTCAGTCTGAGTCAGACCTCCATGATGGACGGTCCGGACGGCTTCCCAGTTTTCTTTCATTGTCCCAGCCTGGACGAGGAGCAGAGGAGGAGGATAGAGAATTATTTCCACATTCGGCGCAAATCAGGTGGAGGAGAGTGCAGCTCGGTGATGGAGGTGGGGGACAAAGTTTACAGAGTTGCTTTTAAAGAGCGACAAGGTGAGCTGTGACATATGAAAATAATTTTAAAAAAGACATGTTTACCTTAATTTAGGGGATTATTTAAATGCCCTGTCATAGTGAAAGTGAAAGTATGCCCTGACACAAACTTAAATAACTTTATTTACTTAGTTCGATTGATAAATTATTAAAACAAGTTTTTTTTTGTCATCTTTGAGCTGTTTAATACAAGTTTTTCTTTTTTTTTTTTTTTAAATAACTGAAACTATTTGCGTTTATATTTAGAGACAGATAAAGTTCACAGTTTCACTTTCACCTCTGAGATTAATCTCAGTAGACCTGCAG